GATTTTTTCGTGAATAATGGTTGCTGGTTTCGACGATGTCCGTCACACGACGGACAAAAGCTTTGCACAGAGTCATCAGAGTCGTGGGACGGTGAGTAGAGGTCTTCCTCGCACAATTAAACAGACAAAAATCCAAAGCAACCCTCCTTCGGTATCTGGTTAAGCCAATCTACGAATCCCTTCGACCAGCCTTCTCAAACGAAACGAAAGGTACCCTAGTGGCAATGATACTAGCACTTCTTCATGTAGATAACGGATGAAAAGAGCAGTCTTGTCGGTTAATGAGTTAAGAATAAACAAAAAAAACATATGCTTTAGATTTTTAAGTACAAAATAAAAAAAATCTTTATAGAACCTGGTAACACTAAATCCGCCTGTAGCACTTCCGGATGTAACCATATTTCTTGCTGGAGGACCATAGTTGCTGCTTCCTAATGCACAGTTGCTTAGCCGACTTACGGGCCGTTGTTGATGCGGTGATACGACCCGAGATCCACGACCGAGGTATGCTTGATCTCCAGATGGATTTGAATCATCAGAATGAGACATTGCAGCAATCCGTTGGTTATTGACAGCAGCCCGAAGTATGCTGGCTCGCGTAGGCTGTGGTTCGGGAAATGAAGAGAGTCCAGAACCATGCTGTTTTGAGAAAAAAATACAATAAACATATAATTCAAATCATTTTAGACGCTCTCGATATACCACCTTAGCTCGGCAGGTGTGCAAATGTATGATAGGATTGAGTAAATAATGCAATTACCCGGCTTCCTAGACTATTTAATCTAATGAAATAGCTATCATTAAAGTTAATTCGACGTAAGTTAGCCATATGAGGTTACTTGCACTGAAAATAGGCCTGGTTAAGCGGAAAAGTAGATATCAGGAATTTACGGGCAAATAATAGCCCGTCTAGAAAATTCTTGTTGCTAATTTATTGTTTGTACAAATTTGCAAAGCTATAAAATGGCCAACTATCTGGCTACTTTAAATCTGTGTAATGAGATGTAAGTCTCGAAACCCTACTTAAATACGAATGCTTTAAATCTAGCAATCAGATTGCCTCATAAATCATAACCAAGAACTAGTTTAAATTATGTGGAGTCGAAAAAAGAGAAATTATAAGCTGATAAAGATAGGATATATAAAATATGAGCATTCAAAAAAAGATATTAAAGGCACAGATTCTATATTATAGTCCCGAATTGAGCCTGTGTTAGGAAGTATTCATTAATTTAAATTGTTTAAAAGTTGGTAATGCTTTTGAGACTCCCCATTCGAAGAAGTCAGATAAAAGAACACCAGGATAATGCTTATTAAACTCTTTTTCATTTGAATACTGACAGTAGTTACTCAAGGTCACATGTGATGAAGGACTGATCGTTGAAATGCTTCACAATTATATGAGCAGAACTCACGATGCAATAACTCTGTCCCCCAGAAGATAATCTAATCCAGGGTGAATTACGATTTCGACCTGCCTTGGTCTTATCAGCAACTTCAAAGGGAATTGAACCTAGTTCGTGCGCGTAGTGTGACAGCATGCTGCCACTAGTAAAAACAGCCACAGGTTGAAGTAGGTCGCAAGATAGACATGAATTTCAGGGCAAGCCAGGCCTCTCCCATTTCATATATATATATATATATATATACATATAGTGACAAGAAAGCACATTGATATTTACCAGTAAAATCAGCTACGTTATTAGCGTGACTACCATTTTTGTTCAAGATATACTAATAACATCAAGACATAACTAAATTGTTTTTATTCGTTACTTTATTATTTGTAAAGGAAAGTGAGCAAAAGGGAAGTTCTAATATACGATATCCGAGCTAAAATAAGAGACAAGTTATAACGTTTCTCAAAAATTATTAAATAGCCTTTATGATACGAACTATTCAACTAGTAAAATAAAATAAGGTGATAGTCTCAAAACCCTACTAACTTACGAATAAAAATAAGGTGAGTCTAAATAGAGGTAAAATAAACATTTGTATTGATGGCATTATGCAAATTGAAAGTCCAATTAAAAGCAATCATTTGCAGTAATACTACCAAAGATATAGACAGTCTTTAAATCATAAATTCTCGCTATGTGGTACAAGCGTAAGAGATGAGAATTTAACTAAATCAAATAAGGATAGAAGTTGTTTGAGATTATTTTGGCAGCTTGGACTTGTTGCAAGGGTGACGCACTACGTCTCGAGTCATTAGTGTGCACGATTATTCATAGAGTAGGACAGTGGACTTGATTCATTCCCAGAAGTTTCACCGATATCGTCAGTGAGTTTTGCCATTATTAGCACCACACTACAGCTTATCAAAGAGAGTAATATTCCGGTTTATGCCTGAGAATGTACGGAGTATATGGTGCGACGCTGAAAATAATCATAAATACTGCCGACTCCGGACGGGGTGAGCTCATATAAGTCTCCTGAAAATAAAACCAAGTTCATACAACTTTCATACGAGAGGAGAGAGGGACAAAGCTAAATGCCACACTATCTTAGAATTACAAAGCATTCATGGAATTTTTCGTAAAAAAGGATTACGGATACGAAATAGTTAAGTTAATGCTAGAACGCAAGGAATGTAATTATCGCCAAATGGTAAAAGTTCTGGTCAACATGATAGCTAAAATCGATCTACATTTATGGTCATTCGTCTTTAATAATGCTTTATTTACTAGGTTGAATAAAGTAAAGAACTATTTTCCTAATCTCGTCAGAAAACTTATCTGCCAAACAAAGTAATTTGTCAAAATATGGAGAATGTTCACTACTTGGGCTCAGCATGTATTCCACGGTAGTCTTGTATTCTAGATAAAATCACTAAACATACGCACGTCAATAAGAAGTAGTTGTAAAATAGATAAATGTGAAGCAGTAACTGTCAGAGGCAAACAAGACAGTTAGATTTAAAAAAGGAGCTTAGGTCACCCTAGTTCGCTTAAGGTGATGAAGTACTGATAGGGAATTTTCCCAATATGAGATCACTAGGCCCCACGATGCAATTGAAATTCAACAGGTTTTGCTTCCATAAAGATATTCTTATTCAGGGTGGACTGCAGAGCAGCACAAAAATGTGAGATGTTAGCGCTACTTCACTGTCACGAATGCATCAATCAGAGAGCCCATGTGACGTTTAAGTAGACTTAGCCCCTACCATATCACATTTCTATAGAGGCATTGTCGCTAAAACAAGCATGTATTTGCAATATGCAGAACAATTGGTTTTCGAAGAATCCCTTAATAGATTGATATTGCAGTACATTTCAGTTCGTTTGGAGAGGAGAATGGAGGGAATTTGTAAGCTGGTCTTACCGGAAGCCGAAGGTGGAATGCCTTGAAGCTGTAACTATACATATGTGGGAATAATTTTTCGACTAACGGTCCTGCGACCTCGATCAATCCCTCTTGAGCTTTTGTCTGCCATGTAACGGACATCGTCAGAGCAGAACGCCATGCTCTACGATAATTCACCAGGCACGTAAACAACCCACCTATCAAGAAGTTATTATCACAGCACAAAATCGCCTGTAACGGTCTATGGGCCCAAAAATTTATGCTAACTGAATACATGGCTGAGGCTTTTTAAGTACTAGAACTCACACCTTGAGGTAGTAACCTCAAACAAGGGTTCCGTCTTAAGACTATTTAACTTATCCACGAGTTGTACATACCCCACCTTTAATGAGAATTTTTATATTTTTGCATTGGGACCATGTTTTGTCCCGAGTTTAGCTAATTATTATATCTCATTAGTGGCAAAGGGCCTAATGGAAGAGGTAAAATTTACACTTAAAATGCTGGTTAGAAATATTGACGATTATTTTGCAATTAAACACCATGGTAAGAATGGATTAACTAATGTTCATTTTTTGATTAACTGGAGGGATAGTAATATTAAATTCACAACGGGACTAGAGAGGGATACTAGTTTACCGTTTTCTGATGTTTTATTTTTTAGAGAGGTAAATTATGCAAGGACCTATGTAGGAATCGAATACACTATGGCTTTAACCGCAATTTCTATTCAAACCATTGTCTCAAGACAAAGGTTGAATGCCAGGTATACCAAGACAAGTTAAGTTAGAAATATTGATGCATACTTGATAGATTTAAGAATAGAGAGGGAGTTAAATCGAATTGAAAAAGTATACGACTCAACTAGTCTTTTTTGGTCATTTTTCTATTCACAAGCTTACTTCCTGTACATCACGATTTACTCTCGATCTCTATTGCACACGTACAAACAAAAAATTATTAGCCAGGTGTGTCAACATTACGCGATCCGAGAGATGATTAAAAAAGGGGATCAGGAGTCATTAAACCCCAATGACAAAGGACAGAAGCCACCATATATTCTAATTACTATGAGCTAAGAGCTTTAGTGACCTTCGATCCCTAAAGATAATTGAGGACTTATAGAAAATTTTCCCACACGATGCAATTGAATTTAACTTACAAGAGAAATTTTTGTTCAGGATGGGCTGTTGTTTCGATCTTGTGAAGGTCTCATCAGCACTTTCGAATAGAATTGAACCAGGGTGGTGCAGAGCATAATTTAAACGTGTTAGCATTAAGCCACACACACAGGGAAATGATGAATTTCAAGGTAGGCTAGGTATATTCTACATCACTACTCGGGTTAGATTGCTGCTAAAGCATTGATGAGAACTTATGTGGACAAAAGTGCAGTCGACTTTGGATAAACATAATTTTCTAAAGCAAGATTAAGCAAAATTAAATTGCATTTGTAAAAATTCACTAAAGATTCTTCCCCATAGTCAACTTAAGGTGATTAAAGCACTAATTCAAGATCCATGGATAGACTCAAATCCTACTTAATTCGTATACTTTAACCTATCACGGCTGATTTATTACAGAAACGTACAAATAACGGCACATAAATACACATAAGCATACACACACACATGCTTATGGATAAAGACAATAAGTTAACCAAACAAACCACTTTATACGAAGGTATGAAGACCAAGATGGCGTGACCTTTTGTGTGGTCGCAGTCTCCTTTCGTTGTATAGAGGTTGTTTGACCTTGTTTTCGCCACTTGGTCATTTGGTAGGAAGACTTAGGGGAACGCACCTAGTCCGAAATCAATTGTATGCATGATCATTTCCAAAGTCAGACCGTGGACGTGGTACATTCCCAGACGTTTCGCCGGCATCG